TTGAAAATCTGACTTTGAGACAGAGGGTGATTTCTCACGAGAGCTGCCCCACAGCACAGCACCGTTTGCCTCGACACAAACGTGTCAATTTCACACCCTAAGCTCCGGGGCTGCTTTTGACTCGGGGCTTCGCCCGATTTCCTCCGCAGTTTCATGATCCTCAAAAACCAGGATCACGAAACTACGGAGGAAATCGGGTGAAGCCCTGAGTCAAAATGCAGCCCCAGAGCTTCAGGTGTGAAATTGACACGTTTGTGTCGAGGCAAACAGCGCTGTGCTGCGAGGCAGCTCTCGTGAGAAATCACCCTAAGTTTTAAAATGTGTACACCTGAATAAATTTTGTATTTTCATAATATTTAGTGTCAGCTTAACCCTTGTGGATCCATAGCAACTTTTTGGGTTGAGTTTTCTTCCCCCCCCTTTTTTTTCCCCCTTCCCCCTTCCCTTCCTTTTTGTTCGCATCAGGCTTTCAAGTGGTGCCATAGTTCCCCCAGACCCTGAACCCTTGGATTTTGCATCCTTGGCTTCTAGAGCCCTTTACCAGGAGACACTGCCAGCTCTTAAGATCCCAGGGTGGCCACTTCTCACCTTTGTTAGGCCAGGACCCAGACCTCCAGGGTCTCCCCCCCCCCATCCACAAAATTGGCAGAGGGGGAGAAGGCACGCACAGAAGTAGCCCAGTGTAGGAGAAGCACCAGGCTCATGGCCCATCCTCCGATCACTGAGACAGACTGCTTTCCTGACATACTTAGTTCCTTGCAGGTTCTTGGTCCAATCAAACCGTGGCAGGAAGGGGGTCAGGAACAGCTTCAGTATGGGTGGGGCAGCTTCCCTTTCAGGCTATTGAAGCCTTATTCTGATAATGGGGCCTTGTGGGTTCAACTGGGTTCTCCGGGTCAGCTTGTGACTGCCTCGTGTGGAACTTGTCCAAGCCACCTCCAGATTGTGGCTCAGACCTTGGGGCTGCCCTGAACAGCAGGCCTCCAACCACCAGTTACTGAGTGGATCCTTGCTTCCAATGAGTTCTCAGCTATTTCCAGTATTCTGCTGCTCAAAGACAGAACTGTTGTGGAGCCCTAACTGGGAGGAAAACGGATCCAGTTGGTCAGCCATATTGGTCTGAAGCAGTAGAACAAATTTAGAGTCCAGTCAGGCACCTTTGAGCCAGTTTGGTGTAGTGGTTAAGTGCGCGGACTCTAATCTGGGATTAGCCTTATGTTAGGTCTACAGTCTGTTCTGTGGAGTGTAGTTATAGTAATTTATTCAGTTAGATCCTTGTTGTTTTATAAAGTAGCTTATATGAACCTTTTTTTAATTATGGGGGGTGAGGGGAACCCGGTAAAATTAATTAATTATTTTTTAAAAAAAGGTTTGCTTCCCCACTCCTCCACTTGCACCTGCACCTGGTTGGATGGCCTGGGGCAAGCCGTAGTTCTGATAAGAGCTGTTCTTGAAAAAGAGCCGTTTCTGTCAAGAGCTCTCTCAGCCCCACCTACCTCTGTTGTGGGGAGGGGAAGGGAAAGGAGTTTGTAAGCCACTCTGAGACTCCTTTGGGTAGTGAAGGGCGGGGTATAAATCCAATCTCTTCTTCTTCTTCTTTTACCTCACAGGGTGTCTGTTGTGGGGAGGGGAAGGGGAAGGAGTTTGTAAGCCGCTCTGAGACTCCTTTGGGTAGTGAAGGGTGGGGTATAAATCCAATCTCTTCTTCTTCTTCTTTAAGACCAACAAAGGTTTATTCAAGGTATGAGCTTTCATGTGCAAGGCACACTTCTCCAAATACATTGGAATGGCAGGTAAGGTTCAAACTTATAGCCAGAGAACGAACAGCAAATTAACGTGTAACATGATGATGTTCAAGATATGCAAAGTGAAAACTAAATAGTAATTTAGTTGTGTTCAACTAAACAACAAGTTAAGGTTATAAGGTCAACAGTTGTAAAGCAATAAATATGTCAAAATAGCAGATAAACGTCCAAGGCTCCGATCATGTGGGCGGGAAGCGAGGCTGTTTGCCCCGGGTGAACTGACGAGCATTTACGCGATCAGACTTCCGCCCACCCCGCAGTTCCCTATGCTACTGACGTTTCCCTGGTGGTTTTTTGTGCCGCTCCTGCGGCGCAACGAGACGCCCCGCCAACAACTCCAGAACACCAGACAGATGTGTCTGTCTGATCACGTCCCTTTAATCCGCGGGGGAATCGTTTGCCTGCCACAGCTTCCGCTCCGTATGATTGCAGCCCAAAGGTGTCTTTTCTAATTGTGGGAAGTAAGTGAGAATCTAAATTCTCTTCTCTCAGGCGTGGAGGGAACTTAACAGCATTTAATGAGGGGGATGGCTGAGGATGAAATGTTGTAGCTCCCTCTCTCACTAGCTCAAGTTTGTAGCCAAACTTCCTTACTAGGTGAGATGCCATATTTCATGGTGACATTAAAAGGAAAGAAATGAATGAAAAATATCAGTGACTGTGGGAACTGGAGTACAACCACCACTTGTTTAAACCAGAAATGTTTCTATTGTAAAAGTCAGCTCTTTTTTTCTCTAATGGAAACGATCAAATTGCAACTTTTAAAAGTCTATGGGGGGAATGTCAGTGGAGTGAATCTCTGCTCTAGGTGGTACATTCCCTACTAACATGTTTCCCCGAAAATAAGACACTGTCTTATATTTATTTTTTCTCAAGAAGACACACTTGGGCTTATACCACAAATGCATAGAAATCCTGCTAGGGCTTATTTTTTGGGTAGGTCTTATTTTCAGGGAAACAGGGTAGTTGAAGCCCAGTCAAGACTCTGCACCCCAGTCATGAAGAAGTTTAAACGTCCTCATTTTCAGCCCTGCTTTACAGGGGATTATTGGTGGCGGGACTCTGATACATTATCATGTCTAGTTGGGTCTTCTGTAAGAAGAAATATGGTTTGGATCAGGCTGTAACTCTATTTTTGTGCATTTTCAGAAGCTGCTATATTTTCAAACAGGTGAAAAATCCAGAAGCTGTGAGAAGAATTTCGCGTCTCTTTATCAATTCTACTTCACCTCATATTTACGATGGACTATCCTGGATGATAGACTGGGACCGATTTCACATAAACCTTTGTCCCACGCTTGCTCTTCCATTGCCGCCGCTTGTTTTGGTCGATTGTATACCATTAGACCCGTGGCCGCCTTTTGACCCGCATCTTCTCCCAATTTGCCCCGCCTCAGTGCAGTCATTGATTTCCCAGAAGTTTCCTGTTGCCTCGCAGCGAAGCCAAAACACGCACCCCTTTTTCCATGCCCACTCGCCCGCCTCGCTCATCTGCCACTCCTTGTCGTGTTTTTTTTTTTTAAAAAGGGATAAAAGGGGAGGAGGGGATATGAGGACGGTGAAGAAAGGGGACTGAGAGGAGGGAAGCGACAGGAAACAGCCATGCGCCAAAAGCTTTAATGGGAAATCCATTAGAATGATCCGGGGCAAACTACCCCACATGGAACCAGAGGCAAGCACCATGTGCGAAATCGGTCTCACAAACAGCATGAATTTACCATATGTGGTGGACATGTGAAAAAGCAAAAAACTTTTGGACAGAGATTCATAGAGAAATGGAGAAGATTTTGAAATGTAATTTCAAAAAAGAACCAGAAATTTTACTTTTGGGACTAAAGATGGAAGAGGTGAATATAAGAAAGAGGACTTTGATGTGGTACTTGATTACAACAGCTAGAATGACATATGCCCAAAGTTGGAAGCAAGAAAAGACTCCTGAGATTTGGGAATGGATAAAAACATTGCTTTTTATGGTTGAAATGGATAAATTGACTAGAAAGCTTAATAATCAAGAAGCGGAAGAATTTTTTGAAGACTGGAAGGACTTTAAGGAATATTTGGGAAAGTACTGGGACGTGAAGAACACTTTATATGGTTTTGACAATTATTAAGAATGGAAAAATTCCAAAATAGCTGATACATAGAAATAACAGTTTATGTGAATGTTACCTAGTAAAATTAAGCTTAGAAGTGTGATAAGAAAAGGAAATTTAGAAAATTTAGAATAAGGAAGGGAGGTGGGAGCACTGCGGGAAGCCAATAGTAAAGGGGGGGAGGGAGTAGGGAAAAGGGTATAAAAGTATTAAATATGTTATAATGTTGGAATGATGCGATATCCTGATAATAAAAATTTTTGAAGGGAAAAACAAACAAACAGCATGAATTTCCTTTTTACAATTGGTTTGAAAGAGAAGGCGGCTACCAGAAAACATGCAATGGTATACCAGAAAACATGCAATGGTATACTTTCTTTGGGGCTTACCTGTCCCATCTGTGCTTTAGTCTTTCCCTTAGCACCCAGGAAGACCATGCTCAGGGCACAGGAGATACTCAAAGGAGAGTAGAAGATGTTTTGGGGCATATCGCTTCTGATCATCTCACGGTAAAGATCAAGACCAAATGCCATGATTGCTTTAGAAACTGAATCCTGGGCAAAATCCATAGCTATGAACTGAAAGAGAATACAGGAACATAAACACAAGAAAAAGATTACAATTGCAAGATATGAGTTACACCACAACTTACACACGGTATATCTGACATACAATGACTAAACTGATTTCAATGGACTGGCATTGTTGTGTTGTGATGAAGCGACTTAAGTAAAAATAAACATCTGGAAAAATAAGTAAAAATAAACATAAAAGGAAGTACTTCTTCACCCAAAGAGTGATTAACACATGGAATTCACTGCCACAGGAAGTGGTGGCGGCTACAAGCATGGACGGCTTCAAAAGGGAATTGGATAAGCATATGGAGCAGAGGTCCATCAGTGGCTATTAGCCACAAGGTATAGATAGGGGCTCTGGGGCAAGGGATGCTCTGTCTTCTTGGTGCTTGGGGGGGGGGGGTCAACAATGGGAGGGCTTCTAATGTCCTGGCCCCACTGGTGGACCTCCTGATGGCACTGGTATTTCTGGCCACCGTGTGACACAGAGTGTTGGACGGGATGGGCCTTTGGCCTGATCCAACTTTGGAGTCTCTTATATTCTTATGTTCTTATCTGGAGTCTATAGTATACCTTGGGAGTTTAATCTACAATTTTTCATGTGATAGCTTACTGAATGCAGCCTAGAAATAAATAAAGGCTATTTGTAGAACACTACCATGGCATTTAACGTATTTATGTACATTTACATCTGACAAGCCTTTATTGGCATACGTATATACATACAATAGGAGATCAGATTATATATAGAACAGAAAATACAAATCCATATAGGGTAAAATTGGAGCTACGGCGCAGAAAAAGAGCATGAAAGCAGAAAAACCTAATGGTTACTTATCAGAACGTATAGCCATAGCACTAAGAAGAAACCTTGCTACTATTTTGGTTATTTCTGCATCTTGATTATCAAGCAAAAGCAGAACCTTAAAATCATCAGGAATTTCTGAGAATTGAACTAATATAGGATACAGAAGATCCTGGCGGGGCACCAGATAAAAGGGACATTGAAGGAGAATGGGGGCATATTTATGTATAAGAAAGCTTAGGATGTAATAATTATCAATAGTTGAACTAGCCTTTCTGAATCCTAATTGCCCTCAATTTATTAACAACAGAAATTTTAGACCAGTCTGATAGAAGCCTTAGTAGATAGAATGCATAAGTTTTCCTATAATTGACAACAGACTTAATGGGTCTACAATTACTGGGATTATCATTGGAACTTGTTTTTTAGATAGAAATGACAAGAGTTTCTCCCAGGGGTCATTTCATAGAAAAAGAGGTGCAGGAGCTCATTAGCATAACTCATTAGGATTACTTATTTGCATATGCCACACACCCTGACATTACCAGAAGTGTGTCAGAAAGCAACACCCACCGCTCAGGCTCCACTGGACTGTTTTGGATTGCTAGCTATTGGGGGGGGGGGATGTGCAGCTGTCCTCGCAGAGGAGGGAGAGCTTGTACCTGAATAAAACATGGCCTTAAAGGTGCCACTGGACTGTTTTGGACCGGGGGGAGCGGGGAGGGCTCTGCAACTTACCTGGCTGCTTCTTGCTCTGACTGAAGGCTGCTGGGAGCAGGGGGTGGGGCTTGTTGCATGTGCCCGCCCCCTGGGCTCTTTACTACTGGAGCTCCACTCCTGTGCGCTCCTGCAGGAAATGACCCCTGGTTTCTCCAATGATTAGCCCCAGAACTATGGAACCATGGACCTCCCATTCTGTTCTATGGGAGCAGATAGTATACATACATACATACATACATACATACATACATACATACATACATGCTTTAACTTTGCAGCAGGAAGAGAAAGGGGTTAGTCATCATGTGAGAGCGAGTTAGGAAGCATTGCTTGCTGCGTGGCTGGTTTAAGGAGAGGCTAGAGCTGAGCTTTCCTGGGGGCACCTGCTTTGGGGGGCTCTAACTCAGACAGCCCAAATCCAATATTTGCCAAGCTTGGAGGGTGGGTGGGGGAGAGCCTGCTGAAGACTCCCTGTGAGTTTGGTATCTCTAACTCACCAAGGGGCTGTTCTACCACTTCCCGAACTCACAAACCAAACAAACCATGAACCGGTTCGGGAAACAGGAAAAGCTTGTGAAAGTTCATGGTTCGTGCAATCAAACGAACCCTGAACTATTATTTCCCCAGTTCATGCCCATCCCTACTACTACTCTTTACTGTGCTCTGCCTCTCCTGAGCTCCAGTGGCTGCAGTGCAGAACTGTACTAGAAGCAAAATAAATCAGATGCATTCTGAGTGAAGCACAGCCGTGGCTTCGGGGGCTCTCCAGATTACTTGTGCTGTGGGGATTTTGTTCCCCCCCCCTCTTGGCAGCCCTGACCCTCCCCGATATTTGTGTGGGTTGGTTTAGTCTCACAAGGCGGAGTCCCTTCTTAGTGCTGTCAGTTAGTTAGAAGGGAGACTGAGCTAAAACTGAATGAGCTCCCGAGCTGAAACCAGTTGCTCCCACTGCTGTATCTTCTGGTTAATAAATCTTTTGAGCACACCCATCTCTGCTGTATGAACCTGAGAGCAGAAATTAGAGTGAGCACCCTGAGTATCCTGATCTACAATTAAAAGGGAACATTACAACCAGAGCAGGGGCAAGCAGGAGGAGAGGGGGAGGAGGTGGGGGGGAGGAGGAAGAGGAGGAGGAGGAGATTGGATTTATACCCTGCCCTTCACTTGGAGTCTCAGAGCAGCTTTCCCTCCCCCTCCCCACAACAGACACCCTGTGAGGTAGGTGGGGCTGAGAGAGCTCTGTCAGAAACTGTTCTTTCAGGGACAGCTCTGACAGAGCTATGGCTTTCCCAAGGTCATCCAGCAGCTGCAAGCGGAGGAGTGGGGAATCAAATCCGGTTCTCCCAGATTAGAGTCCGCGCTCCTAACCACTACACCAAACTGGCTCTGAGGAGGTGGTGGAGGCATCGACTAGCAGGAGACAAAATTCCCCCTCCCTCGCTTGTTTTATTTTATTTTCATTTAATTTATATTCTGACTTTCTGCGAGTGCATTCAGTGTGGTTTACAGTTCCGAATGCAGGAATGATCAACACAAAAGGAAAAAGGAACACAACCACCCTCAAGGTACCAACTCTGAGAGCTGAACAAGGTGATATGGTGTCCTCCAGTCCATCCTGGGGACGCACCGCTATTTTGAAGGGGTGAGTTCCTACCAGGGCACCCATTTTAACAGCTCCATCAGAGGACAATTCTAGTTGGGACCACCATGGCATTGGGGGGAGGAAGAGCTCCTGCCTGAGTGCCTTCCCTCCCCATACTATTTTTTCCAACCCAAAACGGAGCCAGGAGGGATGGATTCAGGGACACCATATCATTTAGTTTGGCCCTCAGAGAACTTCTCTCACAGTTCCAAAACGACCAGACGGAATGTCTACAGTAGGAGGCAGATCTGGGAGCAGAGAAGGCAGACAGCAGTTGGTCCAGAGCTTACAGCAGGCCTCGTTGTCTTGCCTAAGTCAATCCTTACCCCTGACATGTGACGACTCGTGTCACAATACTTTCAGTGCTACACATCGTAGGTCTCAACTGACGTTTTGCAATAAGGGTTTGAATCATTACAAACGCTTCACAATGGCTCAGCAATTACCCAGCCCTGAACACTGACAAGTTCTTCCTGCCTGTCTCTGAGAGAAAAAGTGAGCGGCTGCCGGCAAATGTACTTGGAAGGATCTGCCCAAATGGAAACAGCTTTGCTCCGTTCAGGAGATCTTCCAAGCCTGTCACGAGGACAGACCACTTAAATAAAATGTTTCTGTGCAATGCCTTTTCATATTGAAATGATACACACAGTTGCAAACAGAAGAAGAAGAGATTGGATTTATACTCCGCCCTTCACTTGGAGTCTCAGAGCGGTTTACAAACTCCTTTCCCTTCCCCTCCCCACAACAGACCCCCTGTGAGGTGGGTGGGGCTGAGAGAACTCTGACACAAACTGCTCTTTTTCAAGGACAGCTGTGCCAGAGCTTGTGACTGACCCAAGGTCACATCAGCAGCTGCAAGTGGAGGAGTGGGGAATCAAACCCGGTTCTCCCAGATTAGAGTCCACGCACTTAACCAGTACATCAAACAGGGTATAAAAGAGCTACAGTAGTCAGAAAAGGCAATCTCAGGCTGTCAACGCTGCATGTTTTTATCCCACACTCCTCCTCCAAGGACCTTAGAGTGGTGTATCTGGTTCTCCCATCATTTTATCTTAACCTCACTTTCTTTTAGATTAATTTAAAGGAAATAAGAAGAGCAGAATAGTGGGGTGGGATACCCGGTGAGCTTCAGGTACAACCATTCAATGTGCCTTGTTTTCTATTTTTCATATTATTCTGCTTTTTTCTAAGTCTAACTACATGGAGATTTTTAAAAAATGGATCTGAACCACACTGAGCTAAGTATACGGATGGAACGGGAGTTGTGGCCATTGTGTTTCTTCCTAATCAGTTCTGTTCATAGGGGGTTTCTTTTGACACAATAATTCTTCTTAGCAAAGTTCTGCACATGTGTTTCAAGACAGATCTCTCTTCTCTCCCTCTGTTTTTTTAGGTAGGTACATCAGTGGAGCTCCAGGCAAGCATCTCCCATAAATCACTACTTTTGTGCTAATATTATAGACTCAAACTTGGATTGTATCTTGAATTTACACCTTGACATCTCCTTTGTAACCACATAACAGTCTCGGTTTTTCCTTTTCCTTTTTCAAGTTTGTTTTTAAAATTGACATGTTAATTCAATATTTAAGCATGAGATCAATGATATATTTAAGCAAATCATATTTACCTCCTGGTCTCCGGGGTTTAAGCGATCCACTTGGCTCGGTGCTCACTCTGCAACTTTCTGGGGTGACTGGAACTTAAATGGTGCTGCCACACCTGTTAATTAATACTCCCACTTCAATGGAACGGATGACCTCATGTACTTCAAGTGCCACTCCAACTGGAATTTTTCAACACAGATCTGATTTCCCCTGTCCATTTGGGCAAGTCTTAGCTCAACAGGGTTTCCTTAGAAAAAGGAAATATTACATCCTTGGAAAAATTACTCACTGATCCAAACCAGGATTGAAAAGTTTGTGTATGAGAAAGAATACAAGGTTTGACAACAATAATCTAATTTTGTTTATTGATAGATCGCCTTTGTATCCCATCTTTTCTCCAAGGACCTTTGGATAACATTATGATCTCAACAGCTCTGTGGGGTAAATGAAGGTTTACAGCAAGTTATTAACTTGAGGGCCACACCCACAACAAGGGCCAAACTCTAGCAACAGGGTAAATAGTGCCTCCTGGATAGGGCTGCCAAGTGGGGGCGGGGAAACCCCCGCTTTGGAGGCCCGATTTCCACCGCCGCGGAATCGGGCTTTGGGGGGAACTCTACCCCCCGAAGTGCAGCATCGCTCACATTGGGGGCGTGGCCCAGATCGTCAGAGGGAAAACTCTATGGTTTTCCCTCTGACAATCTGGGCCACACCCTCAACGTGAGCTCCCGGAGCCCGGCGAAGGTAAGAAGGTAAGAAGGTAAGAAGACTTGGCAACCCTACTCCTGGAGCAATTTTAGCTTGGGAAAATGGTGAGGCTGGGGCCCCTCCTCCCTTGGAGAAGTAAGTTTCTCTTGGCTTCCATGAAGCTGCGGGGAGAGCACATCTGCTTTGAAACCACATGACTTGACCCAACAATAACAACCAAATGACCCTACTTGTAGCCAACAGTATCACATAATTGGCCCTGAGTTTCATGTATGAGATGGGAACTGAACTCAGGACTCAGGCCAACACTCTAGGGACTGCATAACATTGGCTCTACAATATGCTTTGCCTTCTAAAGTTCCATTAAAATCTTTATAGGCCCCGGTCACACGGGCCAGATAACACCGGGGGGGAAGCATGGCTGTTTGCCCCGGAGCAAAATAATAAAGTGCGGTAGCCCGATCACACGGTCCCATGAGGCTTCGCGCTTAGGCTGTTAGCTGGCGATCACACGGCGATGCTGGGGCGTGGCAAAGAAGCGGCGCGGCAAGTGTTTTGCGTTTGTGTGCATGCGCAATTCTGCGGAGCAGCACTGCTTTCAGTTACGTGTTTTTGCACATGCGCTTATGAAAAACATCCAGTTTGCGACAGGATGTGGACAGGCGCCAGATGCCACGGGATGCTAGCGCTCCCGCGATCAGACGCCCGGCCCTGCCCCGCATTTTCCGGATACTAGTGCACTTTCCGCAGAACTTTTTTACTGTGCGTCTTCAGGGCGGGACGCCACGGGTTGGCCACAGGTGCACTATGCTTCCTAGATGTTGTGGTGTGATCGCCCATCGAAAATCCGCATGACATTCGTGCCTTTAGCGCGGCAAAACCTCTGTGTGAATGAGGCCATAATTACTTTTCTCTAGCTTCCAGCACTGGAGAAGATCATTTCATAAAACCATTTAACAAAGAAGCAGAAGCAGAAGCAGCAGAAGCAGCAGAAGCAGCAGAAGCAGCAGAAGCAGCAGAAGCAGCAGAAGCAGCAGAAGCAGCAGCAGAAGCAGAAGCAGCAGAAGCAGCAGAAGCAGCAGAAGCAGCAGAAGCAGCAGAAGCAGCAGAAGCAGCAGAAGCAGCAGAAGCAGCAGAAGCAGCAGAAGCAGCAGAAGCAGCAGAAGCAGCAGAAGCAGCAGAAGCAGCAGAAGCAGCAGAAGCAGCAGAAGCAGCAGAAGCAGCAGAAGCAGCAGAAGCAGCAGAAGCAGCAGAAGCAGCAGAAGCAGCAGAAGCAGCAGAAGCAGCAGAAGCAGCAGAAGCAGCAGAAGCAGCAGAAGCAGCAGAAGCAGCAGAAGCAGCAGAAGCAGCAGAAGCAGCAGAAGCAGCAGAAGCAGCAGAAGCAGCAGAAGCAGCAGAAGCAGCAGAAGCAGCAGAAGCAGCAGAAGCAGCAGAAGCAGCAGAAGCAGCAGAAGCAGCAGAAGCAGCAGAAGCAGCAGAAGCAGCAGAAGCAGCAGAAGCAGCAGAGAAGAAGAGGGACAGTGTGCCATCAAGTCAGAACCAATTAATGGTAACTCCAAGACCATGAGCTTTTCAAGTTAAGAGAGATTCAGAGGTGGTTTGCCATTGCCTTCCTCTGCATAGCAATTCCAGCCTCCCTTGTTGGTCTCCCATCCAAGTACTAACCATTACCAACACGGTTAAACTTTCAAGCTCTAACAAGATTGGGCTAGTCAGGAATGTTCAGGCTGCTATCCTCAGATTACCTGCCAGTGATTCCAGGGATATCCATGGCACTATTCAGGAGAAAGTTACCATTAGGTGCAAAAATAGATAGATTATGGCTGTCAGGTCCCCCTTGGCCTTTGGCCACCAATGGGGGATGGGAAGGTAGGAATGCCAGATCCAGGTTGGAAAACTCCTGGAGATTTGGGGTTGGAGGCTGGGGAGGACAGGGACCTCAGTGGGGTACAAGGCCATAGAGTCCACCCTCCAAAGCATCCATATTCTCCAGAGGAACTGAGCTCTGTTAAGTCTGGAGATGAGCTGGAATTCCAGGCGATCCCCAGGTCCCACCTGGAGGCTGGCTTCCCTAAGTTAGACAGACAGACAGACAGACAGACAGACAGACAAAGATTCCCCTTTCTGAAAAGTGCATTTGCTTTTTGTCATTAGTTATGGACAGCATGAAAAGGTTATTGGTGTAGAAACATTCATTCGTGAGCTACCCCATTGGGGCTCAGATAACAAGTAAATGGAGTTTTTACATAGTTCTATTCAGTTTTATTTCCATAGCAAAGCTGCCAGATCTCATGATGCAAATACAGGACGAAGAAAACATTGACAGATCTGATCGTAGATTTCTTTCTTAATGTCAAATTTGGTCCACTCAACAGATCCTTTCACGGATAGATCCTCTGGTCCTCCTCCTCTGTCTGGTCTCATCTGCAATCGATTGAATCGCCAAGAATATTTCCTTCTCCTCCCAATATT